TCTCGGGAATTGCCCGCCGACAGTCCCAGAGGCTTCTGGCAAGTGAGGCGGCATGTTATCCAGAATGGATCTTAGCATCTATGGACACCGACAGAGCGTTCCTCATATGACTGACATATGAGGAATTTGCTCACGCCACCGGCGAGGAGACCCGCATGGTCTGCTTCGCCCTTCCACCAGGAAGTGCCCAGGTGCTTCGCACCCTACCAGGTTTCTCTTCTTATGAGCAAAGCCGACACTGCCTCGGGCGCCCCAAGCCAGGAACGGGCACAGAGGACGCCCCAAGAGCGTTCTCCCTCAAGTTTCGCACGACTACTCGAGCTATAGGCCTTACACCGACAAGCTACGATCCTGAAGTTGAATTCAGTCAGGATCTGTTAACAGCAAAACATGTCGACGACATCAATATGACAGGCCTATAGAAAAACGCAGACGACGATGTACAAAGTGTCGAAGAGGTGTTTGGTAAATGTAAGCTCAACAAACATTATTACACGAATTGCGCCGTTCTCTACACGAGAAATAAACGAGGGGATGTGATCATGGATCAGGACGAGTAACCGCATGCCGATGAGAAAAAAGTACCTCCCCCCTTAAGTCGTTAGAGTTTTTTATCGTCGACCAATAAGAGTTTGGTCGGGGGCGCGGGGGCGCGGGGGCCGAACTTCATTACCACGGGAAAAGTTCGCCATCGAAGTTACTTCCTTCTCACGTTGAGGTAACAACATCAAGCGAAGCGAACACGTTGTTTCAGGATGTCTCAAGCGAAGCCAATGTCCTTCTGTCTCTTTGTAGTTATGTATGTCTCTCTTTCTTTCTCTGTCTCTCTCTTTTTTTTGTTATCTCTCCCTCTCTCTCTCTCTCTCTCTCTCTCTCTCTCCCTCTCTCTCTCTCTCTCTCTCTCTCTCTTCTCTTCTCTCTCTCTCTCTCTCTCTCTCTCTCTCTCTCTCTCTCTCTCTATATATATATATCCTTCTCTCTCTCTCTCTCTCTCTCTCTCTCTCTCTCTCTCTCTCTCTCTCTCTCTTTCTGTCTCTCTATCTCTTTCTCCTCCTCCCCCCCCTGGCGCCCTGAACTTGTTCATCGCCGGGGTTGATTATCCAGGGAAAACGAGGCACGTGAGCTACCCTACGCGAGCACTCAAAAATTTCAAGTGTCATAAAGCGTTTGTAAATAAAGTTTAATACATTTGACTCTTCCGAATGTTTGTTTTGTCCTCCTTTCCTCTTCTCTTTATCCTTTTCATTCATTATTCTACTTTTCTTTTCGAATATATCTTCTCTCTTTAAGTGATTCCTTTCTTTTTCTTTCTGGTGTATCTCTCTCTATCTCTCTCTCTCTCTCTCTCTCTTTCTCTCTCCCTCTGTCTCTCTCTCCACGCCCCCCCCCCCCCTCTGAACTCTTTTTTTTTGTAAAAAAAAAAAAAATCCTCGGGGTTGATTATCCATGGAAAATGAAGCACATGAGCCCCCTACACGAGCACTTAAGAATTTTAATTTTCATAAAGCGCTTGTAAATAAAATCTAATACATTTGAATTTGAGATGTTTCCTTCTCTTTCTCCTCCTCTTCTGTTTTCTTTTATTTTTGGTGTTTGCCCTTTTTCTTTTTCATTTCTATTTGTTTCTTTTTATTTTTGTTTTTGTATATCGCGTTCTCCATTCCTCCGCCCGCCTGAACTTTATTATCGCCGCGGTTGATTATTCAAGGACGCCGAGGCGGATGAGCCATTCCGAGGATGTCTCAAGCGAAACAAGCATATACTCGAGGATGTCTCAAGCGAAACAAGCATATACTGAAGGATGTCTCAAGCGAAACGGTACGTTTCTTAAGCGAAATAAGCAATAGTTTGACGGTGTCTCAAGCGAAATAAGCAATAGTTTGTGGATGTCTCAAGCGAAACAAGGGATTTGTCGAGGATGTCTCCAGCGAGATAAGCCATTGTTGAGGATATTTCTATGAAGACTAAACGCCAAGGATGTCTCAAAACGTGCTCGGCTTGGTCTCCTCTTGATCATCTCTTACTTCGAGATTATGCTGAGGTCTGGTGGGCTACTCTGATAATCTCCCCCTGAACCCCGAACTTTATTATCCCCTAGTGTTTATTCTCGAAGGTATTCGGTTATATTAAACAATTACGTCCTATCACACGCCCTGAGCTTACGGGAGCAGCGGCAGACGCCAAGGCTACCAAACTCATCGCCGACATGTTCGTTAGCCTGCGAGGAGCTCTCGCATATGCCCTTCTTACTCAGGTTTGGCTCATGGTGCATGTGGTATCTCTCCAGAAAATTCAAGAGCCCACCAACTTACAAGTCAGACGATTGAGTGCTGATCAGCAGCCCGAAACCCATCACCTTCCCTCGGATGAAACCGACGAATGAAGTAGACATACGCAGTGATTCGGGGTATCGGAAACTCACCGGGGAGGAGGGCGGTGAAACCAAGGGGTACGGCATTCGTGGGGCTAACATATTACGGCGAGGAAATTCGCCCCGAGGCACATCCGTCGTTCACCTTTGCGACGGACTACGCAGGTCACACCGACTGCAGGTGAGGTTCAGCTTTGCCGCTGAGGCACTTGCAGCTGCACGTAATCTTGATGAGCGCTACCCCACGCTCATCACTCTCCACGAGCTCAAGGCCGGAGCACTTACCCCACGACAACTACGATATATGCGTGAAGTTGGAGGCGTAGCTATCAAAGTATCCCTTACTATAGGCGCTGAGTCTGTATACAAATCGTTATCCAGCAAAGACATCAAGATACCGACGGAACGTACTTTGCTGGGACATATCAGCTGGGTACGTGAGCTCGTGGATATAGGTATAGTGCATAACGTACAGCGGTGTGACACTAGAGACATGACCGCAGACGGGCATACGAAGGGGAGTATCGATCGGAAATTGTTTTTGGAAGTGATGTCAGGCACTGGGTCATTTAAGTATGACGTGAAGCAGTTTGTTCCCTTTCGGGGCCCCGAAAACAACACCAAACCTAAGTCGAATCATTTTTAGTTTGTCTTTGTTGCCCCTGCGGTCCAGTTTGCCAGCACGGGCGCCTAATACGGAGGCGCCCCCATCCCTGCTTGGAAACGAGCCATGTTTTGCACGCTTGGCAACGAGCCTGTTCAGATTGGTTCAGGCTCTTTGCCTTAATACCATTTTGCCCGGAGGGGAATAGCCTGTTTGGCTTACCTCCAGCCGGGCCGATAGCCCTTGTATATCCGAGGGTCTGTGCGTGGAAAAGTGTTGCGAGGAAACTCGCCGGCGAATAATCTCGCCCTTCAGTATGGTGGTTGACCAGACTGCGTGTATTGTTTTCCTTACAATCAGAATTGCGCGCCTGTCGAGAGCCTAGCGACCGCGCGGCTTTACTCTCCGTCTCCTCCCCTCCCGACTTTAGGGGTAGTTCTTTGGGAGATGTTATATGTAAACGGGAGTAGATCCTGCGCGTCGCTGCCTTATGGCTCAAGGCACGCGCGCCCTATTTGCCCGGATACCTGACTTGGTTTTCGTTATGTGCTGGAAAGACCATTACATCGATATGATCCTGCCTTACCCATCCACACCCCATATCGCACTCCTTCGACATGGAATTGGATGCAATATGACCTACCAGAGTCATTTCAGACTATCAGGACGGTCCTTCGGGGCCACCATCGGATACATAGGCAGTGTGTATTCCCAGCCACTCTCCCGAGGCCTCTGGGAAAGTCACACGGCTCAGCCCGAGAGTGTCCATGAGCGCCCATGCGCTTGTTGAGTTGAGTTCCTGAGCCTTTTGAAGAGCATCCCGAAGTCTTATCACAGGTAAGTCTAAGGCACCTGCGGGCACTCCATCTCGTGCCTCGCGGCACGGTTGCGGATAGCAGCGGCTATCACTTAGTGCCTCAAACAGGGACGGTCTAAGAGATGATTCTTGCAATGGGAGAGGTGTGGAGTTTGTTTTCTGTTGGCTGCAGGTTTCCAGTTGCGCGGTGGTGCAGATCAGCCGCCGCGCTTCGGCACGCAGGGGCGCATTGTGGCCAAGGGCCAGAAACAGACGCACTGGAATATCATCATGCTCGAAGTCCAGAATGGCAACACCTACTGCCTGCTTCTTTTCCCTCTTTTCCTTCACCCCGCCATTTTGGGAGGTCCTACTTCGAACCTGCCGCTAGCGCATCAGCGTAGCAAGTAAACGAGGAGAGAAAGGAAACGGTAAGGAGGTGGAATGAGAGACGAAGTGGGAAGGGGACAGATGAGGAGCACCAATGATAAGAGATAGCCGAGATTTGAGGATGAGGAGGAGGAGGAGGAGGAAAGGGGGGAGGAGGAGGAGGAGGAGCAGGAAGAGGAATGAGAAACGTGAGGGGAAGGAGGAGGAGGAGGATGAGGAGGAGGAGGAGGAATGACGAAAGTGAGGAGGATAAGGACGATGACGAGGCGGCGGAGAAGGAGGAGGAGGAGGAGGCGCAGGGTGAGGGAGGAACACGTGGAGGAGGAGGAGGAGGAGGTTGAGGAACTGAGGAAGGAAGAAGGGATCATGAAGCAACGCTCAAGAGGAGGAAGGACAGGAGGAGGAAACATACGACCAGTGTAAACCCACGAATCATCAACGATATGTGAATATTCATCCCTACCCAAGCTTCCTTACCTACAATCATGTCCACTGGGGGAAGTGCCCCGTTGAGGTACGGGTGAGACGGACAAGTATGACGAGGATGAGGAGGAGCAGGACGAGAAGGAACGATTGCATGTGCCGTCCCGAGATGCCAGTTGGTCCGAGTGCACGGGGCTGGCTTAGCAAGTTGCGCAGGGCAGACGTTGCTCTCATTGCGCGCGAATGGTATGGAACGTGGCTGCAGGACCACACAGTGTTGCCTAGGCGGGTGGGCCTCACAAGCGAAATACACGTTCGAACTGATGCAATCGCACGCGTCGGTTCAGGTATCGTGACTCAGGCTTCTGCCGTGTTTCTTTGCTCTCTCCTGGCAGCCTGATCCAGCTGCGTGTCAGGTGGAGCTTGGAATGTCAGACCTTCCCGGTGGACTAAGTGGCTTACCGTCAATTCATGGAGGAGAGTGGGGTGTCGGTTTTCTGCTTCGGGGCTTGCAGTTCAGATGCGTATGTCAAACGTTTTGTTATGTGGTAGCGCACGCTTTGCACAATCGTGTCGATGATCTTGCGACGACCATGCTGTCGAATATGACGACGACCGTGCCATTCGGTAGCAAATCATGGGAGCCTTGCGCGGCCTCACAGTTCCATTTTCAGGGTGCATTCACGTGCGTCAGCGTCGTGCAAGCGACGAGAGAGCGCCGACTTTGTGTGTCGATCCGCGCAGACTGTGCAGGCCTTGCGGCCAGTGCCGCCGACCCGGAAGGCGGGGCCTCCCCCCCGGGACCCCCGCTGGCGACCCCCCCCGGGTCCCGCCGAATTCGATGCTCGTTTTGGGGACCTTCCTGGGGGCCACCTAATGGATCTGTTCGACTCAGGGTCGACTCAAGTTCGACTCAGGTTCGACGCAGGTTCGACTCAGGTTCGACGCAGGTTCGACTCAGGTTCGACTCAGGTTCGACGCAGCTTCGACGCAGCTTGGACGCACGAGTGGAGCGAGTGGCTCCAGGAAGGTCCCCAGAACGAGCATCTACGCCGGGATCCTCGGGGAAGCGGTGCTCTGACCCGGGACCCACCCCAACCCGGGCGGGAACTCCTCCGGGACCCCTGCCGGCGGCCCCCTCGGAGGTGGCGGTCCCCTGGTCGCCCTGTCCCGGGGGTCTTGAGTTCGCCCTGTTCGCAGGGGGGTCACTCCCTTGCCTCTGTGCACAGGAGGCATTGGAGGGAGAGGGGGGGGGGGAGGGGGAGGGGCCTGGAGTTCCCCTCGTCCACAGGGGGCGCCCGTCCCCCTGTCCCCCCCTGTCCACAGCGGGGACCAGGGAGGGGTGCGGCGGGGCAGTGAGATTCCCCTGTCTACAGGGGGGGGGACCATTCCTTGTCCTCCCCTGTCCCAAGGGGTGGGGAGCGGTAACCTGACCCGGGTCCCTTCCCCACGACCCTTCCCCCACAGGGTGGACCACCTCCCGGGACCCGCTGGGACTTGGGACCCCGGGGGGGAACCCCAGAGGGGGGGTGCGGTAATCTAACGGAAGCGGAGACGGGGTATCAGGAAATTACCGGTTCGACACATCAAACGCGCACTTTGTTGCAGTGCAGTTTTTGTTGTGTCTTAGTTTTTTGCGTTTAACGCAGCACTTGCCAAATGTTGTCTGCGTTGAACATTGTCGGCTGCTGCACTGCAACTTTTTGTTTTGGGCCCTTTGTTGCCCGGTCTGTGGGGCTTGGTTTCAGTTTTTCCGCAACTAGTTTCAGACAAAAAATGCAATGCAGAGTTTTTCGCGCTGCAGAATCACTGCCGTGCAGTTGTTTTGTTGCGACCGTTGCAGTTTGCCCGTCTGGATCTTATGGTGAGTGTGTCACCCCGTTTAGGTGTTACCCGGGGTTTAGTTTGCCCTGAAACCTTTGATCCCCCCTTTTCCGCAGGGGACCTTGGGGAGTGGATGCTAACCTAAACTGTGACCTCCCCCAGGACCCCTGCCCCTCAGGGGGGACCCCCCCTGTCCCCCTTGTCCACAGGGGGACCACCTCCTGGGCCTGCCGACTTAGCATCAATACGTAGATTTAGCGTCGATTCGCGTCTGTTAGCGTCGGTTAGCGGCGTCGACATGCATATAGTCTGCACCAAGTAAGGGAGCGATAGTGATGAAGCTGAGGGCCCACGAGGAGCTGATCCAAGTTGCAGAAGCACGTTTAATTTGCTGAGGGAGGTAGGGCTCCTCATCAGAAGAGGATCGGAAGTGAGGCGGATGATACGGAGGAGGAGATGGGATGCCCCCTCTCGCTCCCCTCCTGCCCCTACTGCTCCTGCGGCTCTCCCTTCTCCAGTTCACTCTGGTCCAGGCGCCCACGAGCCCCAGATCAATTCTTTTGAAGAGCCCTCTGTGTGTGATGCTCACGTCGCATGATGGATCCGCTGAGGGAAGTGGTGCGCTCTCACGGACGAGCGGCTAGTTTGCTGTTCAAACGCTCATTCGATCAATTACTCCTTGAACGCGGACGGCGTTGCCCTCGGCTCCTGATCTGCCAGACCGATCCAGAGGCGCGAGCATCTACCGTGGGTTGCCAGGCCAGCCTGAAAAGCAAAGCGACAAAGTGATGCAGTCATGTTATGCCCAAATAGAACATGAGCTCGAGATGAACGAGAAACGGGAGCAGACGCCAGGACGGGTCCGGGAGGCATTTCTGGCATCTCTGGCATCTCCTTGTCGCACCAGAGCTCCTCGCTCTCGCACCCGAACTCGCTGCTCAGCGACAGCTCTCGCGTGCGTGAGCGAGGACGCCTGCTGCCGCCGCAGCTGCCGCCGTTCCAGACGCCGCGTCCAAGCAGCCCCCATCCCTCTCCGTCTCGTGGGGGCGGGCCTGTTCCCGATATTGTACGCCCCAGAGTGCACAGGAACGCTTGCCAATCGCACATGGTGTTACCAACAACGCGTCATCACACGCATGCGTTGCCAGAAACATATGCCCTCTAAGGGGCAAATGCGCATGATCAAACAATCGCATACCTTGTTTTTTCCCGTCGGGCATGTTGTTTGGACTGCGGACGACACGTGTTGCTGTGAAGTAATAAGTGTTTGCATGTTGGGCTCGATGCACACAGGGCGCTTTCATCACTGTTTCGCAAGGGCCGATACTACTTCAGCAAGACAGCGGTTGGACGCACGACAGCCACTGCCCAGCGTTCTGGCGGATCAGGGATTAGTAAGAGCTCGTGGAGGGGCTAACGGTGGCCAGCCCTGGGCGGAATTCTTGGCAAACCATGGCGGGGGTTAGTGCCAGCGGTTTCGAGGGTTAGTTACAGGGGGTAGCGAGGGTTGTCCCAGTACTGGCAAGTGGGGTAGTGAGGGTTGCGAGGGTAGTGAGGGTTGTGAGGGTAGTGATGGTAGTGGGGCTAGTTACAGGGGGTAGTGAGGGCAGTGAGGGTAGTGAGGGTTGTCCCATGGCGATGGCTAGTGGAAGGGGCCAGGGGAGGGTTGGTGGCAGGGGTCGGTGGAGCCCCAGCAAGCGGCAACCACCGCACGCAAGGTTCGGACTTCTGTAATGAGGCAGGAAGCCTCGTGTGCAAGCGCTGCTGGGGAATGGCCACCGCTCCGCCAGGGATGGCGGAGCGGCTGACGCGTCGCCACGCTTCCTTGCGCAGAGCTCTGCGGGTATCACCACCCACCAAACCAGCTCAGCTCAACCCGAAGGCTCAAATTTGCCATCGATTTCCAGTGGGGGAGGGGTCCGGGAAACATTGGAAAGACACATGCGGAGCCCGTACCCCCCCCCCCCCAAAAAAAAACCACTAAAATGTGGGTCTTTGGGCTAGGCTGGGGTGGTCTGGTAGGCAGTCAGGGCAGCTCTGGCGGCGCTGGGATCGGGAGGCGTCGTGTGGAGAGTCTGGTGGGTGCGGCGGCACATTTTGTCAGATGTTGTAACTGAGCAACACGCATGTCGGTTACCAAAGCGGGCCAAAGCGTATGCATTGGCAAAAGAGAAGTACGGAACATGTCCTGCTTCGGTTGCGCTTGCCTTGTCGGACCATGGTGCCGCTCAGGACAAACCCTTTAGAATCAGCTTCATGCGTCGGATTTCGAATATATGAATAATCCAACCGCGCGGTACTGGCTGAATCGTTGCTCGGCTCTTTGGCCTCGGGCTCCTCTGGGCGTCGGCTCGGGTTCATCGGGGGTTCTGGCCTGGGTTCCTCGAGGTGCTTCGGGCTCCTCGCCTGGGCTCCTCGGGGTTCGCCGCTGGGGCTCGTTTCGTCGGGGCTCCTCGGGCCCCTCGCTTGGGCTTCTCAGCTGTGACAATGAATGCCGAGCAGTATCAAGCAGTGCCATGCAATGCCAAGCAATGCCAAGCAATGGTAATCAGTTCCAAGCAATGTCAAACAGTTCAAAGCAAAGCAACATAGAATTAAGCAATGCTAAGCAACGCCAAGCAGCGCCAAGCAATGCCAATCACTGCTTTGAAGGAGACGCCCAATTGGAGCCGCGGCTGGTTCATGATGGTTCTCCTTTGTTTCTTTCTTCGCCCTGGGGCTCGTGACTGACCAGCCGCAAGGGATACGCTGTCGGCCTGAGGATTTCGATGCGCCCACCCGTGTTTGGACTGCGACTAGGCGACCTTCCAGGGCCTCGTTCCCGCGGTATCCGTGCGTCGAGGCTGACCAATCGGCCTTGCCGCCCTCTCACACTCCAGTGTCTGGGCTTCAAGCGGTTGATATTCGTCCTCGTCGTCGTCGTCGTCCTCTTCCTCTTCTTCTCGGCTGGTGTGCCCGCTGCCTTCTCCGGCAGCCCTCCCACTCCCACCAGTGCCCCTCCCGTCTTCGGTGCAGCGAGGACAAATGGACAGCTCCCGTGTGCGCGAGGAGGACCTGGCGCGCCAGCTGTGGTCGAACAGCGTGGGCCGATGGAACTGCACCTGGCTCAGCCGCGGGAGGCGAGGGGCGACGGTCCCGTGCCGGCGAGGCCCAGTGCCTGTCGAGGGGTCTCGTGGGAACCCCGCCGGGGGGGTCAGTGCTCAGGGCACTCCTCCTGCCCCGCCCCCCTCCCCTCCGCGTACCCTTGGTGTCCTTCGTTCTCTCTCTGATGGGGTGCCGAGTTTCCCCATCTCTGCGCGCGGTGCACAGCACACGCGTGTCTCCTGCCTCGGAGTTCTGCCACTGGTTCGTTTACCAGTCTCGTGTTACCTCTCGCTTTGGTAGTTAGCTTGGGCTTCAGCTATTGTCGAGTGTTCGCCGCGCTATGCTTCTTTGCTTGAGCGTAGCTCGAGGTTTGGGGTCCCTCAAGGCGCCGCACGAGGGCTGCTCCATGCTGCCCATTGGTTCGGTGATCGTTGTTGACACCGCGGTTTTGCAGCGCAGACTGCATCATCTGCATCTCACGTGTTTGCTTCTCTATCTACACGTGCATCTTGGAGCTCGAATCCCTGGCCCCTCTCATGCACACATGGGTTCAATCGCTTCGGGCGGTTGGCGTATGAAGCTCTCTGTGTCTGCGTAGTGATGGAACTTCGGGCTTGCAACGTTTACAGGTGCTTTCCAAACAGTCTTTGGCCTACGTTGCACCGCCGACCTCTCGAGGCGAGCCTGTGGGTCCGTCTTGCAAAGGCTCCGTGCCCCGCCTGGGGGCTCTGGGGTCTTCCTCCAGCCGCTCTGGCGCCATCTTGAGGACCCGTGGGCCCCGTCTCTGCCGTCTGGAATTCCCCCCCCCATGCCCTTCTTGGGACGTCTTGGGCGCATGTCGGGCTGCGCCTGGGAGATCGGGGGCCGTCCAGAGGCCGCTTCTATTGGAGTGCTCAGAGTAGTCTGAGAAGGAGTTCAGCCTGACATGCTTTGCTTGGTGGTTCTGATGGGCTTGTGGAGTTCGGCTTGCGAGTCAGTCAAGTGTCGTTCCCGTACTCTCGTGTTGGGTTCTGGTTCCTCGGTGCGCGTGTCCAGTGCGCACCTTGTCATCGCAAAATGTTTGTTTTGCTCTAACGCCCGTTTCTGGGGAAGAGGGGATCGGGAGAAGGATGAGAAGGAGGAGGAGGAGGAGGAGGAGGAGAGAATGGGAGAAGGAGGAGGAGGCGGATGAGGAAAGGATGTCAAGGCAAGGCAAGGCAGGGCAAGGCGGTCGGGAGTCATGACTGTCGCAGCGTGGCAGCACTCCTAAACCTTTACGGGGGGCTCGCTGCACAATTCTCAGTCGAAATGTGTCCTGCTCGGAGCCGCCGCGCCAGGGTGCTGGCACTGGCGCCTGCCCAGCATCGGGATCCCTGGCCAGGGTCTCGGAGTCGAGCCCGGCCGTGGCGATGAGGGCCACCCGAAGATGCCCACGGGAGCGAAGACCGTCAGATCCTGCGTCTCTGGAGGCTGCCGCGGAGGCCCTGTATCGATATCCGTCGGTCCCTGGGGCGGCAGGCCGGGGGGGTCCAGCAGGGAGCGCGGAAGCGCGTCGGGTGCTGGAGCTGGACCTGGAGTAGGAGTTTGAGCAGGGCTGGAGCTGGATCTGTACCTGCACCTGGAGGTGTAACTGGACTTGGAGCTCTAGCTGGAGTTATGCTGAAGCTGAGCTGGGCTGGATTCATACTGGGAGCTGGCATTCAGCTGAAGCTGGAGTTGTAATCTTGGTGCACGAAGCGGCCGACGCGGCGAGGAGATCGGCGCGCAGCCCAGACGTGGTGGCAAGTCCCAGGCGGCCGCCGTGCCGCCGTTGCGCCACCGTGGCAGGTGAACGTCGGCAGGGCGGCGGTCGTTGTCGTGAATATGGTGCCCGCTCTGCGCGCCCCCAGGGGTGGCCTCCTCGGCGGGTCGTGGGGGGAAGCAGCCCCGGGCGCTCTAACTCCGCCCGGGCGTGGCCGGCGGCCAGGGCCTCGAAAAAACCCCGGTTGCGCAGGGCATTGTTGCGTTTGGTTCGGTCGTTGCGGCAGGCGCAGACTAGGGACGTGTGTATATGTGTATATATATACCCGCCTGATTTGCATCAGTTGGTGACATCGCACTATCGCATCCGATGCTCAGTATTTTCGGTAACTTCGTTATCGGCTTGCGCCAAGCTTCAAGCTAGGGTGCACCATAATGGATTGTGTTGTGTAACAACTCCGAGAGAAGCTGGCGCGTCAACAGCAATCAAGTGAGCCATCCCGTAATAACTGTCTGCTGAAGAGGCCAAGGCGCAATGTATCGAGCGACATGGCATGGCCGTGACGAGCGGATTGCCATCTTTTTGTGGACAGTAAGAGCACAGGTCAAACAATCAAATCAGCGCAATGGGATTCGTGGGAGGGGCAGGATGCCAGACACTGCGCGCACCTGGCTTGCCCTCCCTCCCCTCCCCTCCCTCCCTCCCCTGTCCCTTCCCCGTTGACCAGGACGACCGACGCCGAGAACGATTCGAGTATGGGATCGACCTTCGTAGTTTCGGTGAAAAACAAGTTTGTGGTACATCGATTTTGTCGTCGATCCCCTACTCGAACGATGGACGACGTGAGGACGACGACGACCGGAGCCGTCCAGTCACGCCACGCGCTGTCTTTTGCTCTCTTGAACGTCCAGCCGCAGCACACCGCGCCGCCTTGTGAGGAGTAGGAGGGGGAGGAGGAGGAGCAGGAGGAGCAGGAGGAGGAGGAGGAGGTGGAGGAGGAGGAAAGGGAGGAAAGGGAGGAGGAGGAGGAGGAGGAGCAGGAGGAGGAGCAGGAGGAGGAGCAGGAGGAGGAGGAGGAGGAGGAGGAGCAGCAGCAGGAGGAGGAGGAGCAGGAGGAGCAGGAGGAGGGAGGAGGAGCAGATTGCCGCCCGCGGACGATCCGCGATGGACGGCCCGCCGAGGCCCCCCCGACTGGCAGCACTTGGGCGCGCCCGGCCCCGCCAGCGGCCATGGGCACGGCCCCGCGGAGCTGGCCCCAGTGCGCGACGCCCGGGGCGGGCTGTTGCACGAGGCCTTTGGGGGGGGGTCCTCCTCCTGCTCCTCCTGCTGCTGCTCCTCCTCCTGCTCCTCCTCCTGTCGTCAGTCTCGTTTAGCCGACTCATCCCCTTCGGGACCCCTACCGAATTACCACCCCGGTTAGGGATACACCCCTCGAAACCCGAAGGGAACGGCCTATATCCCCATCCAGGAGGGTACATCGGCCAGTGGGGTCCAGGCCACGACGAATACCCATGTCGCCGTCGTCTCAGGAGGGGAAGAAAAACACAGACGCAAATCGTCGCCGATGCCAGGGACAAGAGTGAGAAAATGTGAGAAGTGGTGGGGAAAACGGAACTCCAGAAAATAGGGTAACATATAGGGATCCTGGGAATTGTGTCTATTTATTTGTTTGTCCCTAGGCCCTTTCATTATCGCGCTCCGCGCTCCTCCGCGCTCCCCCACCGTCGGAAAAAGGCGAACGAGGGAACTTGACGGAGCAAACCCATAAACCTTTCACCAACAAATTGAAGTTCGGAGGGCAAACCCAGAAACAATCCGGGGCAAACCCAGAAATGTCCGGGACAAACCCAGAAACGTACCAAACCAAGAAATTTGATAATTCATCACGGGGAACCGAAACCCAAACTTGGAAACTGTCCAGGCCAAAGTCGGGGAGTGCAAGCAAGTGCGGATTTGGGGAGTGATGTTGGGATGGAGATGGTAAAAGAAGTGTGGGTTGAGGGGTAGGGAGAAGAGAGGAGGCAGGAGGGAGGAGGCAGGAGGGAGCAGGAGGACGTGGAGGAGGGAAGAGGGAGGAGGCAGGAGGGAGGAGGCAGGAGTAGGTAGGAGGCGTGGCGCAAAGGTGTCCCACTGTGCTGCTAGAGCGCGTGCCGGGTCGCACGTCCGCAGCCGGCATTCGGGAAATGGGCCCGGCCGCTTCAGGAGGCCGCGTCCAGCATGCGGTTCTGGTCGTTGGCCCGGAGGGGGGGGGCGAGAGGGTGAGGAGGGCGAGGGGGGTCGAGGGCGAGAGGTGGAGGACGAACGAGAGGGGGGGGCGGAAGGAGGAAGAGGAACGCAGCGCAATGCAATTCGACGCATTGTGGGACTGCTCTACAGGGAAAGAGTTGATGCCGGGGTTCAGGGCGCACAATTCAACGGAGGGAGGGGGGCGAGGGGCGGGGGGAGGAGCGCTGCTTTTCAGGATTCGCTGGGGCGAAGAAATCGTCGTCGCAATGGTGGAGGGGGGGGGATTGGGAAGGGGAGGAGGAATGAACTCGTCGGCTCCATGGAGGAGGTGGAGGGCGACGGGGGGGAGTTGTCTTTGCTGCGCGCCTGATCGCCCAGGCGCGGTTCGGCGGCCGCCTCTGGGGAGCGAGCGAGGGGTGGGGGGGGGGGCGACGGAGGGGGATGAGACGGACGAGCAGGAAAACGAGCGAGAGGAGGAGAGGAGGAGGAGGAGGAGAGAGGAGGAGCAGGAGCAGGAGGAGGAGGAGGAGGAGGAGGAGGGGGAGGAGAAAGAGGAGGAGGAGGAGGAGGAGGACGAGGAGGAGGAGAGGAGGAGACGGACGCAGGAAAACGAGCGAGATGAGGAGGATGAGGAGGAGGAGGAGGGGAGGAGGAGGAGAGGGAGGGGGAGGGGGGGGGGGAGGGGGGGGGGGAGGAGGAGGAGGAGGAGGAGGAGAGAGGAGGAGGAGGAGGAGGAGGAGGAGGAGGAGGAGGAGGAGTGGGCGGAAGAGGAGGAGGAGGAGGAGAAGGAGGAGGAGGATGAGGAGGAGGAGGATGAGACGGACGAGCAGGAGAGTTAACGAGAAGAAGAAGAGGAGGAGGAGGAGGAGGCAGGGAGGGAGGGAGGGAGGGAGGGAGGGAGGGGCGTACTCTTGCGCTGCTCTTGCGCTGGCTAGCTTGTGGGGTTTACGTTGCGCGTGCTCTTGCGCTGGTGTTGTGGGGTTTACGTTGGGCAGCAAATTTATGGAGGCATGTTGCAAGATTTGCGAGGAGTTCATTGGTGGGTCTGCTCGGGGCAGCCGCCGTGGCCATTTCCTTGACGTTGGGAGTATGCGTCAAATTTGGCATCACATTCCTCGTAGCAGGGGCGCGCCTCATGCTCTCTTCGGTCATGAACAGCGCAGGGAATTCTCTGTTCGGACCGGGCGGCGCCGTGGAGAATGCCATCTTCAACGGCTCCACCGCCCAGCCACAGTGCACTCTCGAGCGCGACGTGTACCAGAACCTGACGTTCACGGTTGCTCCTGAGCACGGGTTGCACCCGCGCGTGAATTCACAGGGATCGATAGCACGGGCCATCGCTGACTCAGTTGCCCACTTCCCCACGCCCCGTGCCATCACCAAGTGCAGTAGCTGAGATATCGCGTGGTTTCAAGCCGTAGTGCATCCCATGATACCTCACCTCGCAAGCCGGGCCGCGCAGTCACCAGCGTTCCAAAGGTTGTTGCAGGGAAGCTCGCAACACACTCTAGCAGTATTGTTTGTTGTCGCTAGCGTGCTACCGAGAGCGGGGCGTGGACTGATGGCCCTGCGAGGGTAGGAAGGACTTTGTATAAGACGGGCTTTTCCCTCTCGTGATACTCCACCCCCCCCATGGAGGAGTTGATTCCGGGAGAAAGTTTTCGTCATGTGTTGGTTCTTTTGAGGGCCCGTCTAGGATGTGAGTGCAAGCGATTCTATATCTTGGGAGCCCGTGTAGGATACGAATGAAGCGATCCCGTATCTCGGGAAACCGTGTACGTGTATGATACAAATTTGAGCGAATGTTGAATGTTCGCTGAACGGGTTTTCCCATGGTGCTCTCGTCGAGTTTCAGGCCGCCAGTGAAACCGACCCCTTTCAGTCGAAAAGGGTCGTTCTTCGTCTTTGGAGTTTTTAGTGTAAGAAGCCCGATTCCATCGCGTTCGAATGAAGGTTTTAACTTTCCAGGGCTCGTTCTTTTTCGTTGTTCTTGACAGGGAACGGGCATGCTGCAGCGCATGTTGGCTCGATCCCAAGCCATTCGTGCGAGAGGCCTGCCAAGCTTTAGGTCGACGCTCAAGCGTTTAGCCTCCAGACGCGCACACTGCAGTGGGGGTGCGGCAGGTGTGAAAAAAACACGTATCAGCATTCTCGTGCGAGCATTGGTGCAGTGTAGTTGCAGGGAGTTGCAGTTGCAGTGGTCAGTGCAGAAGTCCAATCAGGAGGGAGGGAGGAGGAGGAGGAGGAGGAGGAGGAGGAGGAGGAGGAGAGGAGGAGGAGGAGGAGGAGGAGGAGGAGGAGGAGGAGGGGGAGGAGGAGGAGGAGGAGGAGGAGGAAGGAGGAGGAGCGGAGGGGGAGGGGAGGGGGAGGGGGAGGGCGAAGGCGTGGGGAAGGGGGGGGGGGGGGAGAGGGGAGGGGAGGGGGAGGGGGAGGGGAGGGGGGGGGGGGGAGGAGGAGGAGGAGGAGGAGGAGGAGGAGGAGGAGGAGGAGGAGGAAGGAGGAGGAGGAGGAGGAGGAGGAGGAGGAGGAGGAGGAGGAGGAGGAGGAGGACGAGGGGAGAGGAGGGGAGGAGGAGGAGGAGGAGGAGGAGGAGGAGGAGGAGGAGGAGGAGGAGGAGGAGGAGGAGAGGGGAGGAGGAGGAGGAGGAGGGGGAGGGGGAGGGGGAGGGGGGAGGAGGGGGAGGAGGGGGAGGAGGAGGAGGAGGAGGAGGAGAGGAGGAGGAGGAGGAGGGGGAGGAGAGAGGAGGAGGAGGAGGAGGAGGAGTAGGGAGGGAGGGATGAGGAGGAGGAGGAGGAGGAAGGAAGGAGGAGGAGGGAGGAGGGAGGAGGAGGAAGGGGGGGGGGGGGGGGGGAGGAGGAGGAGGACCAGGCAGGAGGAGGAGACAGGAGGAGAAGGAGGAGGAGCAATAGGTAGAGGAGGAGGAGGAGGAACACAGGCTTGGACTCCCCTTCGTGGGGCTGGGAAATTCTTGGTTTGGTGTTTCTCGGGGTTCTTGGTTTTGCCTTCGTGCGATTCCGGGTTTTGCCTGGCGGTTCCGGGTGTCGCCTGGAATGGTTTCGGGTTTCGCATTGCGTGGGGTTGCGGGATTCGGCCCAGCAAATATGGCTTTAGGGCTAGGTTTGAGGGCCGAGGGCTTGGGGCTGAGGGCTCAGGGTTTAGGGCTTCATGCTCCGGGCAAGGGCTGAGGGCCGAGGGCCAGGCGATTGACGTTTCGGGTGCAGGGCTCAGGGTTCAGAGCTTCGAGTTGCGGGCGTAGCTGCTAAGTCTTTGTGGGGAGGCTGCGAGCCAAGGAAAGTGAGGTCTTTCAATATTTATATTGGCCCTTTGGGGGCCTCCAAGCGCCTCCTCATCATCGTCATCATCGCCGTCATCGCCGCCATCACCGATATCGCCATCACCACCATGTCGATCAACATTGGCAGCATGAACATCGCAATGATCGCCATCACCACTACCACCCCTCATCGCCATCAACGCCATCACTAGCAACATTAGCATCCGGATCTTCCCCTTTCATTACTATTATCATAGGCATCGCCACCTTCATCGCCATCATCTGCACTAGTTTCGTCACGCCCGCTGCCGTTTTGATTCAGCGTGTTTTCGGTCTGAAGCGAGAGCTGTTCTGTCCCGACAGTTGAATTAGTTTCGGTTGCGCGTCACTTACAAGTGACCCCATGCCGAAACACGCCCGCACTCGTGAGCAGCTCATTGCCAAGTTGACAGGACGTAACCAGGTGATTAACAAGCTTCGCAAGCAGCTTGCCGCAGAGAAAAGTAATGGAGACCGCCAGCAACAAACTGATGCATGGGAGGACGGGGATGGGCAAGCCCAGCAGGAAAATGATACATATCATCGATTTCAGCACACTCCAGGTGGATCGCAAAGGAGTTGTTCATCGCGTCACCAGCCCTGAGGGTAAAACTTGTTGCTGCCCGTAGTCGTGCCCAAGTATCATGTAAAGCGTGGGCAACTTTTCTCTATCCCCACGCGCAACTTAGTTAGGAGTAGCTTGTTGTGCGAGCAGCCGCATGCTAGATGAGCGGGCAAGGTTCTCGATTCGG